CACGCCGCCGCCGCAAAGCCTGTCGGCGTAAACCTCTAATATGTACATAGTATGTTTGGCTAATTTATAGTTGTCACAATGCGTGCATATCTTTCATTCTTATACGAGACAGAAATATTTCCTTAGGAATTATTCACCTCAATGTTGAGAAGGCATCCATTTTGCATTATTAAATTTACTACCATTGGACAAACATACATACGTACATACATCCACACATGAGGTTATGTGTGTAATATTTAAGTAACATTGTCGCATAAAATAAACCATAATTATAATATTAGTGCTAATCTATTTATAGCCATATGATTTTGTAATTGAAGTGCTCCTTAAGACTTTAAAACGGCGATGGGTACCGCCTTGCCCGCGGGCAAAGCTCTTTTGAACTTTCTATACATTCTAGCAATGATGATATGAAAAATAAAAATTAAAATATCAAAGTATCAATGGTAATTTGAGTCACTGAAGACCCCATACGAGCAATTGTGTGTAGTTGATGATTAAAACTTATTTGGTGCCACAGCTAAGAAGAGGTTATTAATGTAGCTTTACTTTGAGGAGGAAAAAGTCTCTTAATTTTTCTTAACAAAATTATTTGTATTGTCTTTGCTAGTCATTGCAGTATGACTGGACTACAATAAGCTAATATACGCTCACATTTACTAAGTAAATATATATTCATAGAAGCAAAGTCTGGTATATTATGCTTTTTCACATTATTACCGTAGTTAAATGCAGTCTATTTCTTGAACGGAAAAGTTCATTCATAAAAGTAGTAATCGTTGTGGTTGGCTTAGTACACATTAATTGTTTGAACCTCAACGGGTGTTGAATGTCAACGTCACACAGCAATCGCTTAGTAGTCAAATGGTTTTTTATTTTATTCGGAAAAATCGCATAACACTAATAATCACTTCGTCTTGTCGAAACGAAAAAAGTCAATTTAAAAACGATTTTTCCTATTAGTTGATTGCTTTTGTTGTATACTAACGCAATTAAAATTAAAAAAAAAATCATTTTGTTGTTAACATTGTGGTTAAAAATGCTAACAAGTTTTTTTCAGGTACCGTAACTGTTATGCTTTTTATAAAAAAAATCGAAAAATAATCGCTATTTTTTCATCAATATGTTTTCAATCAAAAATTAACAATTAAAATTTAGCTTTTATTTCTTCGATCAAAAGTAAAAGTTAACTTTTCACTTTTATTTTTTCAATAAAAAACAACAGTTAATATGTTACTTACATTAAAAAAAAAAACAAATTTCACTTTTATTTATCGATCAGATATAAGAGTTTACTATGGACTTCATTTTGTTTTATTGGCTTGCTTATCATTGCACAAACAATAAAACTAACTTAACGTTCATAAGCAAGTGAAATAGCGTTTAAATTTTGAACAAAATAAAAGTAAAATTATTTAACAAGAAATGCAGCTCAAATATTAAATGCTAGTTTTGATCGAAAAATTATAAATCAAATATTTACTGTTTAGTGTTTGTTTACTGTTATTTTAGACTGAATTAACTAAAGTCAAATCTTTACTGATTTTTTCACATAAGACTAGTAAAAAATTTTGTACCTATTTTGGTCTTGGAAATTTTCTGATTTTTTTAATTGTTTTTAATAAGTAGACTTAAGCTTATCTTGGAAATAATTAAGTCTTTTATTACTCTCAAATGGGTTTAAACTACATAAACATATACTCGCACTTATGCACATACATATATTTCAATATGTACATTAGACCGTATCACAAAGAAAGTTCATTTTGTTCCAAGTGATTTTGAACACTTAAGGCCAATTCACCGTTCGTGTCCGGGCGCTTTTTGCTGAACATTCTTTGTTCGAATCAAATTGATTTTTCTGCTTTTCTGTACGAACGACTTGATGATTCGGGTTGCGGCGTTCTCCTTTATATGCGTTTGCAGCGAATTGCATGTATTATTTGCCCTTAAAACCGTATGTGGGCAACAATATTATAAGCTGTTTGCTTCAGAACAAAATAAAATGTGCCGAACTGAACGGTAAAACGTAGTTCAGCACCCTCTCTGGCAAAAATGTTTTGAGTGCAAATAAAAAGTTGTCCGGATACGAACATGAATCCACCTTTACTTACTATGAGGATATTCCAGCGGTGTAAATTTGTTTCGGCAGCCCGTAAGAAACCTACATATTTCCCTCTGAAAATATTATCTTCTCACAACAAACTAAAAAGTGATGATATTTTTCTGAACATGGAACCCTCTAGTCAATATTTAGTTAAAAGTTCAAAAACATACTTCCATGATACAGGGCACCCTGACTAGGTATTTTTCGAGCTTAGTAATTCGACGTGGTGATTATTTTTCTGCCACATAATATTGAGTACAGGGTGGCGCGTTCAGAAAAATGAACATAAATTGCAGATTTTATTAGACATGATGATAGCTCTGTATACTTTTAATAAGATATACCTACCATTTATAGAAATCGGATATTATATAAAAAGATTATAGAAAAAACCCGATTTAACTATAACTACATATTTACAAGGTGTCAAGAAAAAAAAAATTTACACTCCTGGTATACCTGCTCCCATAGTCAGAATTCAAAATCGCTTGAAACAAATCGAACTTTTTTTGACCCATACATCGTGATACGGCCTAATGTACATGCCTCTTGGCCATATTGTGTTACTACTGTAATATACACCACCACACACTGCATTTGTAGCATTAAATTCCTTCATTGCTAATCTTCGTCTGTATGTTTTTGTTTTTCTTTTATTGCGCAAAGGTCCATTCTTCTGACTGTGTGCGCGGTGCCGGCAAGTGCATTGACCGCAAAGTCATTTTGTTGGTAGTAACACAATAAAGCACACGAACGCTTTGTTGCCCAGCCAAACACCTGCCACTGCCTGCCGCTGCAACGCGACGCACGTGCAAAATCTTACGCGGCATCTGAGTGCCGCAGCTTAATTGCTGCGCTCATACACGCATGTGTCGTTAAAGTGGTTGCAACAGCAACTGGGATTACAGCGCGACAGCAGCAAATTTACCGTTTTACATTCGCAGTNCCCATAGTCAGAATTCAAAATCGCTTGAAACAAATCGAACTTTTTTTGACCCATACATAGTGATACGGCCTAATGTACATGCCTCTTGGCCATATTGTGTTACTACTGTAATATACACCACCACACACTGCATTTGTAGCATTAAATTCGTTCATTGCTAATCTTCGTCTGTATGTTTTTGCTTTTCTTTTATTGCGTAAAGGTCCATTCTTCCGACTGTGCGCGCGGTGCCGGCAAGTGCATTGACCGCAAAGTCATTTTGTTTGTAGTAACACAATAAAGCACACGAACGCTTTGTTGCCCAGCCAAACACCTGCCACTGCCTGCCACTGCCTGCCGCTGCAACGCGACGCACGTGCAAAATCTTTCGCGGCATCTGAGAGCCTCAGCTTAATTGCTGCGCTCATACACGCATGTGTCGTTAAAGTGGTTGCAACAGCAACTGGGACTACAGCGCGACAGCAGCAAATTTACCGTTTTCAAAGGAGCAACAACATGCTGCAGAATCCTTCGAAATATCATCCAAATCCGTTTTCTCACTTGTTGGCCTTGCATAGCACTCAGGCTGTGGTGAATAGCAGCAATATCGTCACTCATCAAACGCATTTGGCTGCCTTGCCGCCGGTTTTCGCAGCACAAAATCAGCTGCAACTGCAACATCAGCAGCAACAGCAACAGCAGCAACAACAACAACACCAGCAACACTACCATAATCATCATCCAACAACAACAATTCCGACTATCAGTCAACAGCACAGCAATGCATTTCTGCTGCAAAACCATCCACCACGCCAGCAACAACACAACACCCACGCGCATACGCGCACCGGCGAGCTGCTGGATGCGACCAGTACCTCCCTCGACATGGGCAAGTCTTTCACGATTGCCGCCATTTTGGGCTTGCAGAAGAGCGCAATGGAGAATAGCCGCAAGGATTACAACAACGCAATCAATTTATCGCTAAATAGTAGTGATGAAGATGGCGGCAAGGATGCCAGCTTGGGGCGATCAGCGCATAGTAGTCAACAAGCGTTTAGTGATGAGGAAGTGGAAATTAGCGATCAACAATCACACAATTTACGTATGCCAAGTGCCGGTGGGGGAGGCGGCGGCGGCGACAGTGGCATAAAGTCGCTGAAGTGCGTGCGAAATGCCAATAATTTGTATCAACAAAATGGCAACCCCTTCGATTGTAATGGCAATGCCAGCGCCGCTTTGATACATCGTTACTTACCAATACCAGTGTCGTCGTCTAAGCCAACGACGGCGGCTACATCATCGTTTGTTGCAGCAGCTGCCGCAGTAACGCAACATCATCATCAACAACAACAGCAACAACAACAAAATCTATTGCTGTCCCATGTGCGTTCTGTGGCCTCAGCAGCGGTGGCTGCATCGGGATCATCATCGGCGTTGCAGAGCTTGCAGCAGTTGCATCGACATCATGCGGCGCAGCAAAGCTCCTTGAATTTGCAACGCGAGAAGCATAAGTCGGGTGAGTGAAATTGATTGAAAAACTCGCTGAATTTTAAATTTTTCGATAAAGATACTACATNCCCATGTGCGTTCTGTGGCCTCAGCAGCGGTGGCTGCATCGGGATCATCATCGGCGTTGCAGAGCTTGCAGCAGTTGCATCAACATCATGCGGCGCAGCAAAGCTCCTTGAATTTGCAACGCGAGAAGCATAAGTCGGGTGAGTGAAATGGTTTGAAAAACTCGCTGAATTTTAAATTTTTCGATAAAGATACTACATACATGTGTATATATATGCATATCCAAAAATGCATGCGAGAAAGTAAAGTCGGAATTTTAATGCTCTCACCCTCTAGGATTGTTCTATAGCTCAAGAATTGTACCCCTGTTTTATTTATTTATTTTGAAATCAAAAAATTTATAGAGGTCGCCCAAAGCGCTGAAAGTTTTTCGTGTATTTTATATAGGAAAAAAACAATTTTTAGTAGAAGGGATATAGAATTTTTGAAAATCAAGATTTTCGATCGGACAACTTTGTTTCTCTTCAGAAGATTTTCAATAATAATACCCAATTGTTTATTTAACCAGATTTTAATACTAAATATGTTTTATAAGACCCCCAAAAAATGTAACGGGGGCACCCGCGGAATACTTTGAGTGGTTTGAGAAATATTTTTTGATTTCAAAAATAAAACGGTATATTTCTATAAAAATTCCGACTTTACATTTCGGACCACCCTAATGTACATATCTAGGCAAATATGTCGATCACTCTTTAAGCAGATGCATCTATTATAATGCCGATATCGATAAATACACAGGTANAATAATAATACCCAATTGTTTATTTAACCAGATTTTAATACTAAATATGTTTTATAAGACCCCCAAAAAATGTAAAGGGGGCACCCGCGGAATACTTTGAGTGGTTTGAGAAATATTTTTTGATTTCAAAAATAAAACGGAATATTTCTATAAAAATTCCGACTTTACATTTCGGACCACCCTAATGTACATATCTAGGCAAATATGTCGATCACTCTTTAAGCATCTATTATAATGCCGATATCGATAAATACACAGGTGCATATGTATTAACAAAAATCGATAAAAGGGTATTGTTTACATACTTATAAAATACGGTACTCGATATGTGTACACAATCAAACCAAACTCGATAAATGCGTTGATATCAATAAAAATATCAACAGGCATATCGAAAAATATATCGATATCAATGAAAGTATTAACAAATATATTGAAAAATATATCGATATACATACATATGTATATGAAAAAATTTGTGAAAAAAGCATACATATGATATCGATAAACCAATATTAGATATCACACATGTCGATAGAGTATCGAAAGAAATACTAAAACTGATTTATAAAAATATCTAAATACCAAAATTAATACAGATTTCAATAAATATTTCGATGCTCGTATAAACACATATGTATATCGATAGCTATTTTAACACAGTTATCGATAAAATAATTTGTACCAATTTTGACCATCGAAATAGTTGTTTATACTAATTATTTTTCGTTGGTAATAAAAATTGAGTAAAGTTATTTTTTTTAATTTTGTTTATAAAACTTTTTAAAGTTGTCTGTTTGAAAATGTTCGATAACAATCAAAATTGCCCTGTCCTAAAGAACCTCAATTAATGTCAATTCGCTCATATGTGTATTTATATATATGCAAATATTTTTTATCTTCCGCGTTGCTCACTCACAAAACAGCTGATTTTATTCACCTCGGTACACATGTGTCAAAACTTCTTATGAGCGAGTGAGAAAGTAAGAGTGTTGGCATTTTTCCCCTCTTCTTCCTCGAGCGAAGAATAGCTGAAATTTTGGCATTTGTGTACCGAAAGCGAAATCAAAATACATGCCAGTTTTTTTTTTTTTTTGTACTACTGCTACCACCTTATACCAAACCCCTTTTTGTCAAAAAAATCAACTCAACTACCTTCTCATTTCTTTGCAGAGAGCAACTCGAAAAAATCATCGCTGAAAAATAAACGCGTACGCACCATCTTCACGCCCGAGCAGCTGGAACGATTAGAGGCCGAATTTGAACGACAGCAATATATGGTGGGACCGGAGCGATTATACTTAGCGCACACGTTGCAATTAACCGAAGCACAAGTGAAGGTGTGGTTCCAAAATAGACGCATTAAATGGCGCAAACATCATCTAGAAATCACACAACAACGCCTTGCACTGCTACGCCAAAGCCAGCTACCAGGCGCTGTTGAGCCGACGAGTGCTGGCGGCGTTGTAGCGGGCAATTCCATAGCAGTTAGCAATAGCATGCCAACTATCAATAAAACAAATACAAGCAACGATGCTCGAACATCTTCGCCAATCAGTTGTGGTGCGGAGGATGTTGATGAGCTCAGCAAGCAGGGAGAAGAATTCCATTCACTCAGTCGTGGCAGTCATTCAAGCTCAGAATCTGATCTTTCGATATGTAATGACTCGATTGATGCTGGCAGTGCGGTGGAGGGCATTGAGGATACATAAAATTTGTGAATCGATATGCATTGGTGTTTGTATATACATACATAAGTATTAAGTATTTAATGAATAATCGTTTATATATAAATNCATAAAATTTGTGAATCGATATGCATTGGTGTTTGTATATACATACATAACTATTAAGTATTTAATAAATAACCGTTTATATAAAAATTATGTAGAATATATAATACCGCACTGAGATTATAAATAATCAGGATAAATAGTAAAACTGTTGTGTTGTTGTTTTTTGTAAAAAGCGATTTGAATGGACATTAAATAAATATTTTGTAAATAAATTATTTTCATGTCAACGATAAAAATTGCAGACCTTTTACTCGATTTATTCAAGTAATTTAAGTAAAAAGTCTAAAATTTAAGAAAATNTAATACCGCACTGAGATTATAAATAATCAGGATAAATAGTAAAACTGTTGTGTTGTTGTTTTTTGTAAAAAGCGATTTGAATGGGCATTAAATAAATATTTTGTAAATAAATTATTTTCATGTCAACGATAAAAATTGCAGACCTTTTACTCGATTTATTCAAGTAATTTTAAGTAAAAAGTCTGAAATTTAAGAAAAAGCAATTGACTAGTTTTATTCATATGGCCCATTATTTTGGTAAAGTAATTTTCAGTTTCCCCGTCGAAAACTATTGTCATACCTACAATGTAGCAGCATGAAGGTGACGTGGAATTGCCAACCAAGATCGTGCGATTTGACCGCGATAGACTTTTCCCTATGGGGTTTGCTGGAGTCACAGATCTTTGCCAATAAGCCGCAATCGACCGATGCACAGTGGTTCAAAGCTGGAATTTACTGCCCATAATTCACTGAAGCGTTCATGTTTCAACCAACTTAACTTATTAACGTTTTCTTTAATGAAAGCTTATGAAATTGGCAAGAGTCCGATTTTTAAATTTTTATGCAGAGTGCAGAAAAACAAGCAATTTTGAAGTAAATCCAATTCCAGTTCCAGTTAATAAATATTTCATAGTAAAAACTAGTTGAAAACAAAACGAAAAGAAATTCACAAAAAAAATTAAAATATTATAAAAAATATTTTAACCAGAGATCGAAAATAATCCTCTTCACTTATTTTATTGTGTTTTTCACTGACACAAACACAAATCTCTCCAGCAAAATGTGTTTCACACCGTGCCAAATCTCTCTGTGCGATCTTTTTGTGTTTTCAGTTGTGGGTTATTTATCAACCCCCTAAATTTCCCTTAGGTAAAGACATTTTTGGCAGGGAATTTTATTTTTAAGTATCTTCATTTTTGGGATATTGAAATACAGAAAAATATAACTGGACGTACATTAGGGTGATTCAGAAAAGAAAAATTATTTGTTTCCCCTCGGAACCATGCTCAAAAGTTTCGTTTAATTTAAAATAAGTCTCAGAAAATATGAGCCCTTAATATTAATATTACGAATGCCCGCATCGCACTTTTCGATTTGCCATAAGAATAACACATTTTTTTTCTGATTTTTATATTTAACGAACGATACACTTTACGGTACTGGAACATTTTTGTGGAGAATTAAACGCTCTACAAAAAAGGTCTGAAGTCATTTTTCGAAAAGTCAACTCAAGTCAAATTAATTCGCTCTACAAATCAAGTCACAAATAAAGCCAACCGTGCCAGCGCATGACCGTGATGTTGACGTTGCTTCTCTTTCTCTCTCTATTTCATATGTTTCTACGGCGTACTTCTACGGTACGCTACGTAGACATTCGTGGGTAACCACACTTTAACACTTATTTATCTCTCCCAGCGATAAGTATCCGAGAACAACAGCAAAGGAAATTATATGCAAATAATCATTTCCCACTGAGCGAGAGCACCACGTTTGGGCACGCTGCACTGAATCGAAATTGTCACTACCACTAGGGCTTTAGTGGTAGTGCATTTCAAATTTAACTACCACTATACGAATACAGTGAAACCTCCCTTGGGCGGACATTCGCCGTTAGTAATTTTTTGTCCGTCCAAGAGAGGTGTCCGCTCAACGGAAGGGAAGATTATTTTAGAACTTTTTAATGTTTTAATTAATTGAAAAGTCACTAATTCTTATTTGAATAAAAGATATTGATATTACATCGTTCAAACAGAAATGTGCATGTATTTTTTCAAAAGTGCATATTTCATTTATGTGCGTAATTACATATTAAGTAATAACAAAATAAAAATAAATATTACATTTCAGTCCATAAACTACATAAAACCATAGATTCATTACATAAAAAATGGGAAATTGTCGATTGACGTAAGTTTTATTTTAAATTTTTTTCAGTGTCAGTACCTTTTTCATCAATAGTTTTCATGTTTTTATCAGTAACAAAATCCAACCAGAAATCTAAATTTTCGGTCCATGTATTTATTATTATCTATTGTTATAAATTCATCAGAATTGGAATTGGATTCTCCAAGGGTTTCTGATAATTCAAATAACGAACATAAAACAACGCCGCAAACCAAAGATTTATTAGTCCGCCTATGAGGAGTTCGAGTTCGCTCAACGGAGGTTCTTGTTTGATTTGTTATGAAAAGAAATCTTAGGGCCGGTTTCTCCATCTCTGGTTAACACTAACTCCCCGGTTAAACATTGTTATCGACGTTCTAACTCCATGCATATAACAGGGAGTCGATAAGGTCGGTAACGATGTTTACCGGGGGATTAGTGTTAACCGGAGATAGAGAAACCGGCCCTTAATGTCCGTTGATAAGAGGTTCGCGTCCGCTCAATAGAGTTTTTTGTGTCAATTTTATGCAAAATAACTGTCCGCGTACGGCCAAGAGAGTGTCCGCTTAAGAGAGAGTAAATTGTTCCGAAATTTATACTGAAAACTTGGTATAGGAAAAAATGTCCGCTCAAGGGAGATGTCCGTCTAATAGAGGTGTCCGTTAGGAGAGGTTTCACTATAGTACGAATAATATTGTTCCGATGTCTTCAAGCTCTAGCAGTAATAAGTCGAATTCCTACAAGGTGGCAGCAGAAGCATAAAATCAAATGTATTAATTCACCTTATTTCACGCATTTCTATCCCCTTTTTCCCCGAAAATGTTTTGAATGTTGTCGAGTATGCAAAAGTAAGCACGTAAGTCCAATATATGCAAAAACCAACAAAATCTCCAGATGCGTGCAAATAAGCTGCTTCAAGCATTTGCTTAGATTTGCTAGCCTTATAACCAAATCTTGTGAAAATCTAAAAAATATATTATGATTGAAGATTAAAATGAACAAAAAAAAAACTTTTTGCAAAACTTCTTTTCAAATTTCTCGTTAGAGGTAATGTATTTTGACCTAAATTTTACTTTTTGCAGCCCTAGAGGGGGCGATGTGGGCGATTGCTACTGTCCACGACAAAATAGAGTCTGTCTATGTGAAACTTTCCTCCCCCTATTTACTTGATTTTAAACATTTACAATTTTAAATGTCCTCACAGGTATTTTCTAAACATTTTGAGTTCAAATTTTCATAAAAATAATTTTGCCCACCTAAATCGGCTAAATACCCCTATGTGCGATTGTAACTTCGTAGCATCGAACTGGGCCCGAGATAAGAAAGACCAAACACGAGTAGTTAATTCTGTTGACTTGTGTTATTTGAGAGAGGAAAATTACTTAAATTTCTCCTCCGATTTCGCAACAAATATTGAAAAGTGTGAAAACAATGCGCCTATTTTAACAAAAAACAAATTATAATAATATAATTAAAAGCTAGGTTCTCTCTATGGATGATTGTGCTGTAATCCGAGACCTTTAAGTTTGAGAGTATTTCAACCCTTCCGGTGGAGTATTGACTTTCTGTAAAAAGTTACACTACCACTGCTGGCACATAAAAAATTTGGAGCTTATAATCGTATTTATACTTCCGGTGCATTTTACGAAAAGATCCCAGTTCCCTCGAAACCCGCTGAAGTGAGTATGTATGTATTCATGTAGCTTTTATTCAGCCAGGAAAATTTCCCTCCAAAGAGGAAGGCAATTGCGAGAACTTCGTGAAAAGCTTTTTCCTCCACTTATGGCCACGGTTGGTGGCTTGGAAAATTTTTAGATGGAGATAATGCAGTATTTCTAAATCTAGCACTTTTAAAAGCCAGTCTTGCCATTCAGTTCATGTTATTATTTGTTTTTGCTACATGCATAGTCAGAGAACTTATAAGATATTCATAGTAAAATCGAATCGGACCTTATAAAAATAATTATGTATTATACTAAACTAAAAATACTTAACATTTTAAAAACTACTGTTTGCCGTTCAAATTTTCCAAAACAGAGCAAAGTACTATTTCCTTTAGAATATACTTTCTTAGCTTTTTCTTAGGTTTAAAAAAAACCCATACTACGAAATTTGTGTACTTTTGAAACAATTGATTTGTTGGCACTCTGATGTAGCCAACAATCATATTTCCATTCGATTTTTTTTTGTTTTTCGTATCCTAAAATGAATTCCATTTTGCATAAGAAAAATGCTACTTTGTATTTCGATGGGATTGATTTAAAAATTTACTTAAAGAAAATCGGGTTTGCGGAACTTTTCTAATTGGTGGAGAGTTTTTTAAGGAATGAACATACTGACTTCTTTTTAGCTTCATTTTTCATAGGGTATAACTTTTTCTAACCTCTTTTTAAAAACCAATTTAGCAACGCTTTTTGCGATCCTCTGGTCATACTGGTATCGACTCACATGGGTTTTTTTTAACATCATTTTTTTATTTCTCACATCGGTTAGGATATTAGCAGATTTGGTTTGCTTTTGAATACGGTTTCATTGAGAGCGCTATGAAGACTGAGATATGTATAAACGCTTAAAAGAAATATGTATTGAGTCAAATTGGCTTTTTGTTAATGCGGTTCTTGCGTAGGTATAAACAAGGTATATAATGAAGTAATAACAGAATTTTTCTCCCAAGGTCCAATAAAAATCTAAAATGTATAAAATATTTTATGGGACTCACCCGTTCTTTTGACCGAATTAGAAGGCAATTGAGA